AACATTTTTATGGTGTTTGATACATGTAACCAAGTAGCTTTCAAGAAAGGATCTTTCAATTTGGGCTCTCATTGAATTGCCTAAAAATATTCAATATTTATAACTCTAGAATAAAGTTCTGTTGGCAAATGGAAAGAGAAATACAGCTTACAAAAGAGCAGGATTTAAAACTAAAGTTGATTTAAACCCCAAAACTATTCTTAACTTTGACATTTTTCCAACATAATCTCATCTAACAGGAAAAATATATGAATAATTTGGCTTTATATTAAAATTGATTTCCTTTTAGTTTTATTTTTGGCATGACAATATGTATAAGGAACAAAGTATACAAGTTCAGGTCATTGTTTTAAATGAATTAGAATTCATTCTAATCCTCCGAATAAATTTTACGCCAAAAAATTAGAATGTTTCTCACATATCAGGCCTAAGTAGTTGGGAAAAAAAATTACTGTTAGAGATTCTGAGGTCACAATTGGTCGTTTTTATATGAAAGTGCACATTATCAGAATCTATTAAGATATTTGAATCTGAATTCAATCTCATATTTAATCTCAAAAACTGAGCTAAGCCTTGCCCCTTTGGGTGTTTGAATATGTGGGACAGTTGGTGAAGCAAATATGGGGAAACTCTGAGGAGAAAAGCCTAGAGCCTGGAGGAGACCATCACCACTAGCTGCCTCTGAAGGGAGGGTCCTCATGTGGGTCACTGCCTTGATGGTTATCAGGGACACAGTGAAGCTGATTTGAAGGGCCTTCCTGATTAATCTCAGGTATTGTTTAATGAAACTTACTTTGCCTACATGAGTAACACTTTAGGAGACTATTTTCTGTAGAGTTAATGAGCAAAACCCAGACATCATTTAATTTGATACAAAGTTTTGTCTACTAATGCAGGGGAAAAAAATATTAAGTAGCCATTACCATTTAATTGAAAAGGGAATTTGGATTTTTCCACATTGATTATGAGATTAGTGGGTAACCATTCTTCCTCACTGCCCTGATTCCATGATGCCCAGAAATAGCAGTGAAAGCCATTCAGAAACAACCATATATTTCCACAATTAATTGCCTACCCCTGACCTCTGTTCTTACCTTTTTTACATCAAAGTCACACATTTGACTAAAGGTGCCATTCTGCTTTTGAGAAGACCCTTTCTGATGATCATCTTGTCTTTTCCTCCCAAATGTCTCCCCTGTCAGCAGTTTTAGTTCGACTCCTTAAGCACCTTGTTCTGCCTCTCATACCAGACACCAAAGAAATCTATTTCAGGCTTCTCTAGTCCTCATGGTTGTGTTCAGCTTTTGCTCAGCCTTCAAAAACATAATGGTCCAAGTGCCACAAGGAAGCATGCCCACTAGGAGGAAATAGTTTCTGACTACAAAAAGTCTCCTAGTATATAATTTTATTATTTTAATTTTTCTTTACTTATTGTTTGAGACAGAGAGAGAGAGAGAGAGAGAGAGAGAAAGAGAGAGTATTTCATGCACATTTGAGTGTGGGGGAAGGGTAGAGGGAAAGAGAGAGAATCTTAAAAAGGCTCCAGGCCCAGGGCAGAGCCTGATGCAAGGTTCTATCTCATGACAATGAGATCATGACCTGAGCTGAAACCGAGTCTGGTGCTTAACTGACTGAGCCACCCAAGCGCCCCTATAATTTTATTATTTAATCTTCGTTGTCTTCACCACCCAGAATATTCTCTCTCCCTAAGGTCTCCATTCTACCTTCACATCTTTCCTGGTGGTGTTGAACTTAAATTTTGTTTCCCTCAGAAGATTAACAGCACAGGCTTCCTTTGTCCTGTATCCTTTGTCCTGTCTCCTGCTCCTGATGTCTTACTCTGAGAGAGACGTTTTTCCTTCTGTATGAAATCCATCTTGCTATGTTTGCTTGACTTTTCCTGTACTCACATTCACTACACCTTTTTTTTTAAATTTTTTTTAATGTTTATTTATTTTTGAGACAGAGAGAGACAGAGCATGAATGGGGGAGGGGCAGAGAGAGAGGGAGACACAGAATCGGAAACAGGCTCCAGGCTCTGAGCCATCAGCCCAGAGCCCGACGCGGGGCTCGAACTCACGGACCGCGAGATTGTGACCTGAGTTGAAGTCGGACGCTTAACTGACTAAGCCACCCAGGCGCCCCTCACTACACCTTTTTAACAAATCTTCCTCTCCATTAGGTTCTGTCAGTTAGCCTTCATATGAGAAAAAGAATTAACTGGATGTAAAAGAGATAAGCCAAGCACTTCCCTTGACTCTACTATCTTCCTTGACCACATATTTCAGGACACTATTTCTGAGACTAGTATCAACCTGTAGCCCTTACCCATACCCTCACTAAAGGCTGCTGAGGAGTGTGTGTATGTATATACATGTTGTGGTCAGCAATTATTGTTGTGCATATTATTGTTGGTTAGGCTTCCTGAATTGTGCTTCTTCACCTCGTCACTTGGTCCTATAGATAATTTTGCCTTTCCTTTTTTTCCTAATATCCAGTTGTTTGCCATGTCTTGCCCCAATAATTTTGGTAATATATTGAGGCTCACTCTTTTTTTCCCCCATGACTCCATTTTGGAGCCCTCAAATACAGTGATCACGATCTGTATGAAATCTGTGATTCTCCTGTGTTCTGGTTCCACTTGTAGAATATTGTCACTCTATTCTTCCTGTCATTTCCAAGATGGAAGCACCTAATTGGCCCCAGAGTGCTTGCTGGATGTGTGGTAAAATGGATGATTGACACGAATACCCACAGTGACAGGATTAAGAACCAACTCCAGGATTTGGAGAAAAGTGACTTTGGGCTATGTCTGTGTACATCAGGTTGATCATAAGGGAAGAGAGTAGAGCTGGATGTTTTGAGGTCTAAGCTGATATCAGGGCCTTCCCCATTTGGTTCATACAAGGGACAAGATTTAGGGCTCTTCCTGAGAAAATGCAAGAACAAAAGTGATGGCTCTGGATGATGGTGTTGACTATACATGTTGGGTTTTGAGAAAGCCCTCAGAATCTAAAAGCTAGGTTAATAGTGAAGCTTTTACCTTAATATGACCAATTTTCCCTGTGATTACTTAATTTCAATCCATTTTAATATGCAGTACAACCTTTACTGTATTTATTTTTCTGTTACTTTTCTATTTGCTTCCAGTTACTTCCCTTGTACATTTCTTCCCCTTCCCATATTATGTATCCCTTTACTTCTCTATATTTCAACTATCAGCCATAAGCAGATACTTTAAAAATGAGTATTGATAGTGACGATATTTTGATTGTCCAGTTGGCCAGAAGCAGAAAAGGACCTATTCTTCAAGGAAGCCATCAACCTGATACACAGTGCAGGGAGGCAAACAGAACCATTAAAGGTATTCATCAAAGAGAGCAAGCAATGAATGCTGAGGAAGTAATTATGAAATTGTGAGAGTCAGCAGGATGTGTGCTATGGGCTCCTCTCCCCCAAACCATCACGTTTACCCTGTGTACACAGTTAAAAAGGAGAATCAGAAAGGAGAGATGGAAAGGAGTGGGTGTGATAAAGGCTCTTGGTCTGCTAGTTAAGTAAGACTATGATGCTGATTTTTAAAAAATATTTGAAAGCATGCTTTTGTTGTATAGAAAAATATATTTTGGGGAGGGGCAAGGGTGCTTTCTCAGCTAATGCTTGTGTTTAATACATATCCTCCCTCCTTGCCCAGTACCCATTAGAAGTCAGGTTATATATTGTATCAGAAAATTAGAGGTAAGGCTTACTGAGTGTGGTCAAAAGCATTGCTTTCATTCCTAAAATAATAAAAACCTGAAATTAGAAAAAGAACAATTTTGACATATATGAAAACTGGAGAAGTGGTGACAAGATTTGTGAACTGACCAAATTTCATTTACTGGGATGCTGAACCAACAACAAAAGTCGCCTGAAAAAAGTGGTGAGGTGTTACATACAGCATTGGTTTTTTTCTAAGGTGCTTTGAGAATATTGGGATATGATGAAAATGAAGACCCATACATTAAATTCCAAATCAGGAGGAAGAGGTGAGAGGTGGTTAGTTTAAGATCCTTTATCTCATGACCTTTTATGTCTAGAGAGCTCTTTTTAAACTCTGATCACTGCTCTGTTTTTACCATTGGGCCTGTTCCAGGAGTTGGAAACCACAGACTGTGGAACAATGCAGCTTTCCATCTGCAATTGTTCTGGATATATTCCGGTACATTTCTGGTTTGAATTTCCACAATGAATTTGTTGCTAGTGTTGCCAGTTGATATTTAAAATGTTATTATTATATTGTAAATATTTGATTAACATAAACTGTAAAATATGCTTTGTGAAAGAAAGAAAGAAAGAAAGAAAGAAAGAGAAAGAAAGAAAGAAAGAAAGAAAGAAAGAAAGAAAGAAAGGAAGAAAAGGAATCCTATGAATTCTAGATAGCTGTGTTATCAAAAATTTTTTCCAAGCTGGCTAAAATAAAAAATACAAACATTTAGATTTTGGAGAACTCTTATAAAATGCATTATATAAGTTTCAATATTAGCAGTTCATGAATCTTTCATAATCTAGAAAGATTATAAAAATCTAGAGATTCCTCTATTCCTAGATACTGATTTCATTTTATAACACATTATTTTAGATGAGAAAACAGAGTGAAATGTTGCAGTTAAGTGGGGGACTTAAGGGGAAAAAAGTGATTCTGTCATAATGAAATCTGAAAATAAATTAGCTTTGGAAAACTTATAATTTATGATTTTTCTGAGTTTCAATAATTTATTAGCAAATCTTTTTTTTTTAATTTTTTTTCAACGTTTTTATTTATTTTTGGGACCGAGAGAGACAGAGCATGAACGGGGGAGGGGCAGAGAGAGAGGGAGACACAGAATCGGAAACAGGCTCCAGGCTCTGAGCCATCAGCCCAGAGCCTGACGCGGGGCTCAAACTCCCGGACCGCGAGATCGTGACCTGGCTGAAGTCGGACGCTCAACCGACTGCGCCACCCAGGCGCCCCAAGCAAATCTTTTCTTATTCACCAAGTCTACACAGTATTACTCTTGACCTCTTTACTTTTCTAGCCTACTTCACAAACTTCATAGGTACCATATTTCTGGCAGTTTTCTATTCATAAGTTAAACATTTCATGAAATTTTATTTCTTTAACTTCACAGAGCCATTTACAATGAAATAGCTCCTTGTTATATTCTATTTTTCATAATCAATAATAGCTTATGTAAATCTGATGTAAATCCTATATTTTCAGTAATATTGGTTCACTTGTCTTCATATATACAGTCTGTCTCTTATTATTTAATTGAGCATGCTGCAGAGATGGGTACCATGCCAGCTAGTCCCTTTGCTTGATGCAAAACAAAGCGAGTTTTAGAAGTATAATTTATATTTTTCATAACAAAAAGTTGATATTCCCATTTTGTCATGCAGGTTTCCAGTCTGGGATGGAAGTTTCTTACCATTCTTTAAGCAGTTCCATCTAGAAAGCATTTGAAGGGCAGTATCTAGGCAGTGAATGGGGTCTAAGTCTTAGGTTCCACTACTGCTAATTGAGGGCTTGGGTTGAATGGATAATTAACACCTACAGATTATTGAAAACCTCATTATAGTAAGTAGTTTCAACTTCTTCCTTCACTGAACCTCTTCCAGAATTGCTAATGAGTAGCAAAATGGACTGATTTTGAATTCTAGCTCCTTTTATTTCCCTGCCTTCTTTCTGATAAAGGTGCTCATAAGCAAGAATGCAATCAAAAGGCATGAAACATAAGGGAGGAATTAAATGAAACTGTTTTTTAAAAACCTCTAAACAGACTTCTAATTCCAGCCAAGATGGAGTAGTCTCATTTCTTAGTCTTCCCTCTTACAACTAAAAAGCCCTCAACATAGCACAGCTACTTAATGAAGATTCTGAAGGTTTATTTTTATTTATTTATTTATTTATTTTGAAAGAAAGCACATAAAATATTTATTTGCCTGTCTTGCATATCTTGAAAAAATTGCTAGTCTTGGAAATACATTCTATTTACAGCAAAACAACATTAACATGCATTGCTTCTAGCGTTTGGAGACACTTTCATTTCTTTTTTTTTTTTATTTATTTATGAAATATATTGTCATTGGTTTCCATACAACACCCAGTGCTCATCCCAAAAGGTGTCCTCCTCAATACCCATCACCCACCCTCTCCTCCCTCCCACCCCCCATCAACCCTTAGTTTGTTCTCAGTTCTCAACAGTCTCTTATGCTTTGGCTCTCTCCCACTCTAACCTCTTTTTTTTTTTTTTCCTTCCCCTCCCCCATGGGTTCCTGTTAAGTTTCTCAGGATCCACATAAGAGTGAAACCATATGGTATCTGTCTTTCTCTGTATGGCTTATTTCACTTAGCATCACACTCCCCAGTTCCATCCACGTTGCTACAAAAGACCATATTTCATTTTTTCTCATTGCCACGTAGTATTCCATTGTGTATATAAACCACAATTTCTTTATCCATTCATCAGTTGATGGACATTTAGGCTCTTTCCATAATTTGGCTATTGTTGAGAGTGCTGCTATGAACATTGGGGTACAAGTGCCCCTATGCATCAGTACTCCTGTGTCCCTTGGATAAATTCCTAGCAGTGCTATTGCTGGGTCATAGGGTAGGTCTATTTTTAATTTTCTGAGGAACCTCCACACTGCTTTCCAGAGCGGCTGCACCAATTTGCATTCCCACCAACAGTGCAAGAGGGTTCCCGTTTCTCCACATCCTCTCCAGCATCTATAGTCTCCTGATGTGTTCATTTTGGCCACTCTGACTGGCGTGAGGTGATACCTGAGTGTGGTTTTGATTTGTATTTCCCTGATAAGGAGCGACGCTGAACATCTTTTCATGTGCCTGTTGGCCATCCGGATGTCTTCTTTAGAGAAGTGTCTATTCATGTTTTCTGCCCATTTCTTCACTGGGTTATTTGCTTTTCGGGTGTGGAGTTTGGTGAGCTCTTTATAGATTTTGGAGACTAGCCCTTTGTCCGATATGTCATTTGCAAATATCTTTTCCCATTCCGTTGGTTGCCTTTTCGTTTTGTTGGTTGTTTCCTTTGCTGTGCAGAAGCTTTTTATCTTCATAAGGTCCCAGTAATTCACTTTTGCTTTTAATTCCCTTGCCTTTGGGGATGTGTCGAGTAAGAGATTGCTACGGCTGAGGTCAGAGAGGTCTTTTCCTGCTTTCTCCTCCAAGGTTTTGATGGTTTCCTGTCTCACATTCAGGTCCTTGATCCATTTTGAGTTTATTTTTGTGAATGGTGTGAGAAAGTGGTCTAGTTTCAACCTTCTGCATGTTGCTGTCCAGTTCTCCCAGCACCATTTGTTAAAGAGACTGTCTTTTTTCCATTGGATGTTCTTTCCTGCTTTGTCAAAGATGAGTTGGCCATACGTTTGTGGGTCTAGTTCTGGGGTTTCTATTCTATTCCATTGGTCTATGTGTCTGTTTTTGTGCCAATACCATGCTGTCTTGATGATGACAGCTTTGTAGTAGAGGCTAAAGTCTGGGATTGTGATGCCTCCTGCTTTGGTCTTCTTCTTCAAAATTACTTTGGCTACTCGGGGCCTTTTGTGGTTCCATATGAATTTTAGGATTGCTTGTTCTAGTTTCAAGAAGAATGCTGGTGCAATTTTGATTGGGATTGCATTGAATGTGTAGATAGCTTTGGGTAGTATTGACATTTTGACAATATTTATTCTTCCAATCCATGAGCAGGGAATGTCTTTCCATTTCTTTAAATCTTCTTCAATTACCTTCATAAGCTTTCTATAGTTTTCAGCATACAGATCCTTTACATCTTTGGTTAGATTTATTCCTAGGTATTTTATGCTTCTTGGTGCATTTGTGAATGGGATCAGTTTCTTTACTTGTCTTTCTGTTGCTTTATTGTTAGTGTATAAGAATGCAACTGATTTCTGTACATTGATTTTGTATCCTGAAACTTTGCTGAATTCATGTATCAGTTCTAGCAGACTTTTGGTGGAGTCTATCGGATTTTCCATGTATAATATCATGTCATCTGCAAAAAGTGAAAGCTTGACTTCATCTTTGCCAATTTTGATGCCTTTGATTTCCTTTTGTTGTCTGATTGCTGATGCTAGAACTTCCAGCACTATGTTAAACAACAGCGGTGAGAGTGGGCATCCCTGTCGTGTTCCTGATCTCAGGGAAAAAGCTCTCAGTTTTTCCCCGTTGAGGATGATGTTAGCTGTGGGCTTTTCATAAATGGCTTTTATGATCTTTAAGTATGTTCCTTCTATCCCGACTTTCTCAAGGGTTTTTATTAAGAAAGGGTGCTGGATTTTGTCAAAGGCCTTTTCTGCATCGATTGACAGGATCATATGGTTCTTCTCTTTTTTTGTTGTTAATGTGATGTATCACGTTGATTGATTTGCGAATGTTGAACCAGCCCTGCATCCCAGGAATGAATCCCACTTGATCATGGTGAATAATTCTTTTTATATGCCATTGAATTCGATTTGCTAGTATCTTATTGAGAATTTGAAGGTTTAAAGAAAAAAAAAGGATTGCTTAAAGATCTCAGGACATGAGGAATGGTTTGGTGTTGAATTCCCTAGTTTTTCTTTCTTCCTTTCATAGGTGTCAGACAGTGTAGTAGAAAGCCTACAGCCTAGATAGAACTGCCAACAAACAGAGACAAAGAAAATAAACTCCAAAAAAAGCCCCATCCCCTTCCCCCACAGGGAAGGAATGGCCTAACAGAACAGAAACTTTTTAATAATGCCTATCCTACTTTCACCTACCACCAAAACAAACAAACCCAAAAAACAACCTATTTACCCCCCCCCCCCCATGGCTTTAGTAGGGCCAAATAGGAATCGAATCTTCCACCCATTGCCCAATAGAAACAGGTGGATATGCTTCCAGGATATACTAAATAGCACCTCAGTCAACAAGAGCTGATTGACATTTAAAGAATACTTCACCCAACAACAGCAGAATACACATTCTTTTCAAGTGCTCACAGATAATTCCCCAAGATAAATTATGTTTTGAGTCATAAGACAAATCTCAACATATTTAAAAGAATTCCCTTCCAAAAACAGGAGGATACAAAAGAATTCATACCATATAGTTTATGTTTCCTAATTACAATGTAATCAAACTAGAAATCAATGCAGAAAGACAAGAGGAAAATCTCCAAATAATTGGAAATTGAAAATAGACTTTTAAGTAATCCAGGAACCAAAGTGGATGTCTCAAAGGAAATGAAAAAAAAATGCTGAATGAAAATGAAAATGTAGTGTGTCAAAATTTGTGGAATTCATTTAAAGCAGTGTTGAGAAGGAAAATTATAGTGCCAAATGCTTACATTTAAAGAAAGGTGACCTTTCAAATCTAAGTCACTATAAACAAGAAAAGGAACATTAAAATAAACCCAAATTAAGGAGATATGAGGACATTATAAAGAGCAGAAGTGAATGGAATTGAAAACATGAACATTAAAGAAAAAATCAAATGAAAAATGGGATCTCTGAAAAAATTAACTTGATAAACCTTAGACATACATAAAAAGAGAGAAAACACAAATCACCAATGTCAAAAATGACATGGGATCTATCATTACACATCCTGCACTCATTTAAAGGAGAATAAGAAAATAGTATGAATAACTTATGCATAGAAAAAAAAAAAAACAATTCCTTAAAAACTGTAAATTACTAAAATTTATCCAGGATGAATTAAGTAATCTGAATACTCTAGTAACGACTAAATAAATTGAACTTGTAATTAGAAGTTCCCAAACAAGTAATCTTTGGTGCCATATAATTTCACTATAGTACATTTGAAAAAGAACACTAGAGGTACATAATTTCCCATAGAAACGGGAAGAGGAAGGAGCAGGTCCTAACTCATTTTAGAAAGCCAGTATTACTCTGACACCAAGCCAGAGAAGGACAGACAGCACATAAGAGGAAAATAACAAGATCTCTCAAGAACATCCACACAAAAATCCTGAACAAAATACTTGCAAATCAAATCCAGCAATGTGTGAAAGCAATTCTATACCATGACCAAGTGTCATTTATTTGAGGTATCCAAACCTGGTTCAGTAATCAAAAATCAATCTGTGTCTACCATATCAATAGGTTATAGAAGAAAAAAAACTATATGATAAATATTTCAATAGGTACAGAAAATGCATTTGAAAAGTACAATACTCCTTCTTAATAAAAATTATAATTAAACAAGAGAGAATTTTCTCAACCATTAAAGAGAATCTACAAAAATCCTATATCTGTCATTATGCTTAATGCTGAATGACTAAATGCTTTTTCCCTAAAATAAGGAATGATGCAAGGATGTCTGTTCTCACCTTTCTTACTCTAGCCACTTCAGTCAAACAAGAAAGATAAAGAAAAGGCAGACATGTTGGAAAGAAATAAAAATATCACTCTCTCTTACCAGATGACACCATCATCTATGTAGAAAATCCCAAGAAATTTTTTTTTAATTTTTTTTTCAACATTTATTTATTTTTGGGACAGAGAGAGACAGAGCATGAACGGGGGAGGGGCAGAGAGAGAGGGAGACACAGAATCGGAAACAGGCTCCAGGCTCTGAGCCACCAGCCCAGAGCCCGACGCGGGGCTCGAACTCCCGGACCACGAGATCGTGACCTGGCTGAAGTCGGACGCTTAACCGACTGCGCCACCCAGGCGCCCCGAAAATCCCAAGAAATTTAAACCAAAAGTCCTAAAACTAAATTCAATGAGGTTGCAGGATATGAGTTCAATACAAAAATCAATCACATATCTATATACTAACAATAAGCATGTGGAAACTGAGGGGAAATAAACACATAACATTCATAATCACTTAAAAAAGGAAGTACTTAGATATAAACTTAATTTTTTAATGTTTATTCATTTTTGAGAGAGAGAGGGACAAAGCGTGAGCAGGGGAGGGGCAGAGAGAGGTATACACAGACTCTGAAGCAGGCTCTCAGCTCCAAGCTGTCAGCACAGAGGCCAGTCTGGGGCTCAAACCCATGAGCTGAGAGATCATGACCTGAGCTGAAGTCCAACGCTCAACCAACTGAGCCACTCAGGCTTCCCAGATATAAACTTAATAAAACAGATAAAGAACCTGTATGCTAAAAAATACAAAATTCTGATAAAAGATATAAAAAAGGACCTTAAATAAATGGTGAGAACTACTGTTTTATGAATTGGAAGTCTCACTATAACAAGACATTGATTCAAATCGGTATATAGGCTTTATGCAATTTCTATAAAAATACCAGCAAGATTTTTTATTAATTTTTTTTAACGTTTATTTATTTTTGAGACAGAGACAGAGCATGAATGGGGGAGGGTCAGAGAGAGAGGGAGACACAGAATCGGAAGCAGGCTCCAGGCTGAGCCATCAGCCCAGAGCCCGACGCGGGGTTCGAACTCACGGACCGTGAGATCGTGACCTGAGCCGAAGTCGGACGCTCAACCGACTGAGCCACCCAGGAGCCCCCCAGCAAGATTTTTTGTAGACACAGATAGACTTATTCTAAACCATATATGAAAAGGCAAGGTGCAAGAAGAGCTAAAATAAACTTCAAAAAGAAGAAAACCGTGAGACAGAACACTCTCTACTGTTTACATTTACTATATAACTGCAGTAATCAAATCATTTGGGGCATCTGCAGAGGGATGGACATATAGATCAGTGCAATAGAATAGTGAATCCAGTACACCTACACAAACATGCCCAACTGATTTTAAACAAAGTTCAAAAGCAATTCATTGGAGGAAAGACAACCTTTTCAACTGTGGTGATAGAATGAATTTACTTTGACCTAAACTTCAGACTTATACAAAAATTCACACAATATAGACTTTAATGTAATATGTAAAACTTCAGAAGGAAATGTAGGATAACATCCCTCAGTCCTGGCATTAGGGGAAGCATTCTTAAAATCATGGTTCATAAAAAAATTTTTGATAAATTGGACTTCACCAATATTAAAATATTTGCTCTGCAAATACCTTGGGAAGAAGATAAAGACAAGATATATAGTCAGAGAAAGTATCTGCAAATTATATTTGATAAAGGAGTTGGATTTAGGATAAAAAATTCCCAAAATTTAACATTAACAAAATCAACAATCTGATTAGAAAAGGGGCAGAAGATATGGACAGACATTTCATCAAAAGGTATATATAGATGGCTAACAAGCACATGAAAAGATGTTTAATGTCTAAACACCTATCAAGATGTTTATAATAAAAAAAATAGTAACAACATCCAATACTAGCCAAAATGTGTGGAAAAATTAGATCACTAGTACATTGCATGTGGATTATAAAATGGTACATCCACTCTGGAAAATACATTGACAGTTTATTATAAAATTAAATATGCATTTACTAGGGGCACCTGGGTGGCTCAGTTGATTAACATCTGGCTCTTGATTTCAGCTCAGGTCATGATCTCATGCTTTGTGAGTTTGAGCCCTACATTGGGCTTCATGCTGACAGTTCAAAACCTGTTTGGGATTCTCTGTCTCCCTCTCTCTCTGCCCCTCCACTGCTCACTCTCAATCTATCTCTCTCACAATAAATAAACATTTAAAAAATATATGCAGTTACTGTACATCCCAGCAATTGCACTCTTTGGCATTGGTCTCAGAAGGATGGAAATGGAAATGGTCTCAGAGGAATGGTTACACAAAAAGCTGTAAACAACTATTCATAGAAGCTTTATTTTTAATAACCAAAAACTGAAAAACTAAATGTACTACAGTGGGTGAATGGTTAAGGGAACGGTGGTATATCCATACCATGGAATACTACACATCAGTAAGAGGGAATGAATTATTGATACATCCAACAATTTTAATGGATCTTATGGAATTATGCTTTTGAAAAGAAACTAATCTCAAAAGGTTACACACTGTATAGTTTCATTTGCATAAAAAATTCAAAACAATAAAATTATAGAGAAAGGACAGATTTGTGGTTGCTAGAAGTTAGAGACGGAAGGAGAAATAATGGTGGTTAAGTGTGGTTATAAACAGGGAATAGAGGGAGGCTTGTGAGGGTAGAACACATCTGTATCTTGACTGTGGTTACCTGAGTCTCATAAGTGGTAAAATTGCATAGAATGATAACCACCATGCCCCAACCCACCCACCCAATATGTATGCGTACATGCATACACACACACACACACACACACACACACACACGCACACACACAAATGAGTGCATATGAACTTGGTGAAATCTGAATGAGGTCTGTGAATTGTATTAATGTTACTTTTTCTGATTTTGATATTGCATTATAGTTATGCCAGATGTTACCATTGGGGGTAACTAGGTGAAGTGTACTGGAATCTCCTTAAACACTTTTTTTTTACAATCTTCCATAAATTGATAATTATTTCAAAATTCAAAATTCAAAATTCTGAATGTATGTGTATCTATACATAAGGATAAATATGTATATAAGCATACATATGTAAATATATGATAAATGATAATTTTCTGGAGAATATAAATTCAGAATTGAAAAAATGAATTTAGTGGTTGTTCAAATTTTAATAAAATATTTTGCTCTTGTTGAGTTATGTTGAAAATAATTTCCACAATATCTGGCAACTATATTTATTGCAGGAAGTAAGCATAGTTTATATTTTTAAGAAAAATACAAAATGAAAAGAAGCCAGAGTTACAAAAGTGGTTAAATTTCCATATAGCCTATCTGATTTTCTAAGTGAACTGAGAATTTTCATGCTTGATCCTAGTATCAAATGCAATTACTGAGTGGCTAGTCCTGATCTGTACTAAATGGCATGGAGAAGAGCATGTAGATTGTACTATTTTTATAGGCCTCATTCAAAAGACCTCACTCTGTGTAGAAACCTTCACTTCAAGTTGTGTCGAGCTTTGCCAGTTATTTTGGTAGGAGGCACGATCTCAAGCACACTGGAAGGGAAATTACGTACATCGGACTTTATTTTTGGTAACTGGCATCAGTCTTTTTCCCTAGTTTCCTAATCTGTACATGTAATCTTCCTCCTTAGTGAGAAGACTAGGAAAGAGAATTTCTTTCAAAGAAACCTGAAATGTACTTCTTAAGAGACGAGTGCTCAATGCATACAAATTGCTGTTGATACTTGATGCATATTCATTCATCTCTGGTGATCAATCCAATCACTACTTTGAACCAGTCATTTGTTAAGATGGTAGAAATGGAAATGGTACAAAGCAAATGTTCACAAGGAGGAATCAATTGGCAGATGGGGAAAAAATTCATTATGACGCCAGAAAATAGCCTTTTTATATTAAGGCTGTCATGTTACATTTTGCTTAGTAACAAAACAGAAAAGCTAATGTGGTGTTCACTTTTCCCACAATTTTGGATTTTCTTTGCTCTGGCATAGAATGTCCCTTGACCTAATGAAATCTTATGGGATGGGGCATGTGGGTGGCACATTCAGTTAAGCGTCTGACTCTTGATCTCAGCTCAGGTCATGATTTTGCAGTTTCTTGAGTTTGAGCCCGCATTAGGCTGTGTGCTGATGTTGATCTCTCTTTCTCTTTGCCCCTCCCTCATTTCTGCTCTCTCTCTCTTTCTCTCTCAAAACAAATAAACTTAAAAAAAATCTCATGGGAACACCTAGTTATACACTGGCATCATTCTGAATCAGAAAATGCCTATAATACATACTAATAATCAAGCACCTACAATTATAACAGGTAAAAAGGTTATATAATTAAACATTCATAGCTATATGCCACAGACAGAAACTGAAAGAGTTTAACTTCTCCAAGCCACATAGCTTACATAAAGCCAGTATTCAACCCCAGTCTGAAATCTTTCTACTATAGAAGTGAATGCCTTTTGGAGTACAGAACCTTGGGTTAGAGGTTGTGGGAGGTGTGGAGATAGGAAGACAAAGGAAAGGATATCATCCATTTCATGTGTACCATTTTCATGAGGAAAATAAAGTCCAATGACTGTAATGACAGGATGAAAAGACTTAATATTACATAGATGTTAATGATTCTCAAATTAATATGTAGTTAAAATAAAATCCCAGTTACAATCTAAATGTTTGGCAAGAACTTGATAAATTGATAAAGTTCATATGGCAGAATATATGGGTAAGAATAGCAATAACCATCTGGGAGAAAAAAGATTTATTATGAGAACTTTCCTTAGTAGATATTTAAAAAGCAGCATAAACGTTGCAAAAGAGCTTATACGTTGCAACAAAGATGATATAGTGAATCAGTGGAAGAGAAGAAAAAGTCTAGTAGCAGATACATTCATATATGGGAATTAAGGCAGTTAACAAAAATTATGTTTCAAACCAGGGTCAAAATGATAATCTATTTAAGGTTTTGGGTGAAAACATCAGCTACTTGGTTTTCTACCTTATGTTG